GAAGAAGGTTTATCCTTCCTCTCCACGTATCGTGGCGGTGCGGATTCTCTCGTTCGATGTCCCGTTATTGAGAAGCTTGCTTTATACCGTCTATTTACTTTTTATTATCTTCGTTTATTCATACATACCGCGTATGCTGATATAATATTATATATAATGTATAAATAGTGATGCCATAACCCGCGCGAGAGCCGCCGCCGGAATTATAATGGAAATATCGAACCGGACCGGACCGATAGTTAAATTCAAAAGTACATATCGCGCGGCGCGTTGAAGAAAATCCATAAAAAGGGAAAAGCCATTAGGCTTATTAGAATGCATATTCACGGGGAACTTCTGTGAAATATAGACCAGGAGGGGAAAAAAAAAAAAGCGCAGATTTCTCGAGAGCTTTGCTCGTGGGCGTTTAATGGGCGGCGCTCGTAAAATACTTGAATCTCATACGAAAATTACCGCCTGACCCCGATATTTCCTTTCCACCTCCACCTTCTCTTTCCTCGCTGAAGCTTCTCTTTTCCCCGTTATAGTCGCGTGCCGCCGCGAGCCCTGCGATTATTTCAGATATAAAGTCGACCTACTTGCGTCGATCCTTTTTCCAAGGTATATCGTTAAGCGAAAATCATTTAATAACTACCTTGTCGTACGGAACCTTAAAGATCGCGCGCGATACTTCGCGATATAAATCTTACAAAATCTTACGGTGATCTTTTCTCGATTTTCATCGAACGTAATTCCATCCTTTCTATTCGCGCGTATAGAAAAATGCCCGAACAGGGTTTATTAATTTCCATTAATAAGTAAAGTATACGCGCGCGCGTTTCAATTTCCTTATCTCTTAAAACGTTATTTTGCGATACGCATATTAAAAAGACACGTATATATTCGCGAACAACTCGTATATTGTTAGACAAACCGATCCTTCGTGAGATTCGGGGTTGGCTCACTGCGGATGTGTCTTATCGAGAAGTTGCACGAATTAAGACTCCTCCTCACGTACACGAACGGACCAAATAAGGAGACACCCTCCAACGACTCGTCCCACAAACTACACGGCGGAGATACCTGGAGAAAGGGAGATACATGTGGACGATATAGAGAGCGGCGCGTTCGAGTATTAATTAAATCGCTCTTGATGAAACTTGATGAAATGCCGTTACACGGTATACTGGCGAAAATAAAAAGGAAAAAAAAAAGATTTCCCGATAATATTTAAGTAAGCGCGAGTATCGCGAGTAAAAATTACCGCAGCGTAAACGTCCTAATGTAATTATGTATATTATATAGTTAAAAAAAAAATGTGTTTACCTTCCTCATCGGGTCGCAACCGTATCGTCTCCCGAAGCGCATTAACGTAATTGCATAAAATGTATACCATAATTGGAAGGGAGAACAATGCGGTTCGCCGAGGTAAATAGAATCCGTCTCGATTTACTCGCATCGGCAAACGGAGCAAGTTCGACCCATGGAGTTGCAAAGCGAAATGAATAGGCATCCAGCAAAGTTGCGTATTAATCACCCGGGCATTCTACGATATATTAGCGGATGAATAATTAACGAGATGTACGCGACCGAAGCTCGCGTCGTCATCGATACCGCGAAAATCCACTTGATGCTCAATTGCTCGCAATTTTCCCGACGTTATACTGTCTCTCCATGTACCGCCGCATTATGATATTAATCAAACTTAATTTCTTCCTCGCAGAGAGTGAGAGAGAGAGAGAGAGAGCGGAGAGTGAAATCGACACGACCACGACGACGACGCGACGTCGTTGTCACTGCTGTCTATCAATTATCGACTCGTATACACGGCGAAGGAAAGGAGCGAACGTTACGAACACTTACATCACGGGCGTGTATACGCCGCTTCACACCGTCGTATCGAAAAACATGCCCTCGTTCTCTTCGCTCACACACGTGGTACACATAACTCGACTAGTAGAGAGACACCGTACATGCAGTACCAGCCACAAGACACGATCTAACGACGGACGGGTCAGGCGTCGCCGTAAAAGGCCATTAATGTCCATCATTCGTGAATTGTCGTCGTCATACGTCGGTCGGTGGTGCTTCTGGAGTAAAAGAAAAAAAAGCGAGATTTTCGAGAAGTTTTTTTACGCGCGCGCGCGCAATTTCCGACTTTTCCTGAAATAATACGCGGCAAAGCTGTCGCGCAGAATTAAACCTACCGTCAGCTGATCGAGCTCGCGGTGGGCAACTCGCGTTGTTTTAACTGTCGAGCGACGGTTTTATTTACCGTGCAACGTCTGCTGCTGTTCGTATATCCATTCTCCGATAACAAGAAACGGGGAGATTCACGGAACGAAGCCAGAGAGTCACCTATTGACATTTCTTTGTTTGGGAGAGACTGAGAAGCAATTTAACGCGCGCACAGCCATTCACACACCCACACCTGCATGGCGATCTGTTCGCGATCCATGGATTCGTGGAAAACAAATAGTAGATTTCGTGAAAATACATCGTACAGCGTTCGATATCGAAAGCGTCACGTTAAATTGAAATAATTGCACGGGAAGAGATTTCGCGAAGAATACCTATACAAGAGAGTTTCGATTTTCGGTGAACCCGATGAAGCGCATCTCGCTCGCTATTAAGAAGCGACTCTTTTTCTCGACTAAGCACCCATGACGGAGACGACGACGATGGCGGCGGCGGTGGCGATACCAGAGAATATTTATAAGCTCCTCTTACAGTTAAGCGGCGTGGCGACGAGGCGACCCGCGGCACCGAGGTATGCATTTTCCGCGCGAAGACAGCGAGATTATTACCGGCGATATTTCATCGGCCGCTAAAACCAGCCGGCCTTTCGGGACTCCTCTCTCTCCTTCCCCACTTCCTCTCTTGCCGCCGCTTGCATTAAAGGTCCTCGCGCAATTGTAAAATGTAACTACCGCTCCGTGTAAGCGCGATGTACGGGATTTATGCTCGGCTCGAAAGAGAGAGAGAGAGAGAGAGAGAGAAAGAGAGAGGGAGAACGCTACTTTTTCTCCGAAATGTATTCGCGCCGAATTTCCCCGCGTTTCTCGCGAGACAATATTTTTTTCAACGCGACGGAAAGACCGAACGGCGGGAGGAGGAAACCCTCCCTCGAAGGATCGTAATCCGAGATATAATAATTTTCTTTACAGTGATTTTATTTAACTATTCGACGATCAAGAAGCGGTTTTAAATACTCCCGGGCGAAATGTCGGGATACCGAAGAGCCGGCAAATCTCGTAACACACGAACTTTGCCTCGCGGTCACGAAATTTATCACGTTACGCCCTTGCACTCCCGATCCCTCCGCTGGTCACCCTAAAGCTGTTTTTCCATTGCGATACGCGAGTGATGCGCTGCAGAATCGACCTCTCTCTCTCTTCCCCTCGTCACTTCACAGACAATAAAATCTAACGCGGCGCTCCGTTTTTATTTTTGTTGCTCTTCCTCTTTTTCGACAAAATGCTTTTTACGCGAGAGCGTCGTAACGTAACGTGACGATAAAACTGGTCGAATATCTTGTTCCACCGATACCGCGGGTGCCTTTATAAATTGCTATGCTAGCCATTAGTCAACGCGTATCGTAAAAAAAAAAAAAAAAAAAAAA